CTAAACACCACATTCTCATGGGAAGTAATATATTGGGACAGACCACATGAGAGTTATAGTAGAGTGGAAAAAGCAAAAGGAAAAGTTGGCAGAGCTACCTGATCTTTTATAATATGCTTCTTTCCTTTTACCCCCTCTTTCTGATATACCCTTCTGTCTACCTTCCAACGCATTAGATTGGATTAGATTGTCTACCTTCCAACGCATTAGATTGTCAGAAAAGTTAGGAAAAGGTAAAAAATAGCCTCCAGGGGAAAAAAAAAAGCTTAGCTCTAAACTGTCAGTCCTGATATGTTCTTGGAGAACTGAGTAGCCTACATATTCCTATCACATTATTTTAAGGAAAAAATGTTGCAAGAGAGTTGTAGTTACTCTTTTAAAAAGCATGTTAAATGTTTACCAGATATTTTAACCCACTATTGGAAAAGTTGAGACAATTTGGTGTAGTGGTTAAAGCTAGACTAGAAACAGGGAGACAAGTTCCACATTAGGGACAAAGTCAGCTAGGTGATCTTGGGCCAGTTTCTCTCTCTCAGCCCTAAGAAGGAGGCAATGGCAAACCACTTTCAAATTATTGCCAAGAAAATTCCAGTGACTTCTCCAGACAGTTGCCAGGAGTCAAGACTGACTTGAAGGCACTGAAAAAACCCACATTCTAGATACTGATTTGGAATAGTAGAAACACATAACAGGTGAAGAGCATTTCCATGGAACTTTGAGTTAAATAACACTGAAATGTGAAAGTAAGAAGATAATCCTTCAAAAACAACATGACTTTTCTTGACCTTCAAGGAGGTATCATATGTTCTTCATTCTTAAATCCTGCTGATGGAAAATTGCCCTTCAGCTATAGATGTGCCCTTTGAAAAGCAATCAATGTGGTTTACTTGTAGGTGGACAGCTGGCCAAGAAGCAAACCCAAAAATCCCCTCTTGTTTTCAGGAATCATGTCAGAAAAGAGACAGTCTCTGATTGAATCCAGATTGAGCTGTTTCCTGTTAGCGTGCTAACTCAGCCTGCCGTGTCTTATTCCACAAGTCAGTGTTATTGAATGGTTGCCTGCCAAGGCTATCTTAAAAATTTGGGGGCAGAACTGCTTTAATAACGCAAACCAAAATTATGCCTTAGATGTTCCTTCAAATGACTTCAAGCATATTGTTGTTGGTAGCTGATAAAATGTACTTTTATTTTTTTAAGCACACAAATGCAAGGAAACATTTTTAATGTCTCCCCCACAACTGTAGCATTCCTTTCCTCTAGAGAACCATCAAAGCCCAAGTCTGAATACTTTCGGGAAGAGCTTTACTCAAGTTTCTGTTTGACCCTGAATAAATAACCAGGTTTGGTAACTAGAATTCTGATTGGCATTTTGGGGTGCATGCATAGGGCGGGTCGGGTGCTATTTCTAACAAGCATTACTGGACAAAGTTATAAACTGGAACTAATGAATTAAATGGGAATGTAGGATGAAGTATATCAAAAGCTTATTGGAATGTTTTTATTTGATTGATTGATTTATTTAGAAGATTTATATGGCCACCCACTCACTTTCAGTGACTCTGGGCATCAGTATTAAAGCCACATTATGATTTTTATTTCTACAAAGAGAAGAAATACAGAAAAATAGGGATAAGATACAGAAGAAGGAAAAAATCTCACAGGTTAGTTGCATACACATTTAATCACAGACCTAATGGCTTGATAAATTTTATGGAGATTGTGGCATGCAAAGAAGGAATCTTAATTCCTGTCTCTGCTGCAGTAATCATGACTGTCTGCAGTAAAAATTACTGGGAAGCTGGTTGGGGCGGGGGAAGCACTTTTTCAGACTAATACATTTTACCAAAAGGCATTCATTAGATGCATGGGATGGCTGGGCTGTTGTGGATTTTTTTTTTGTTTGATTTATATGCCGCCCTTCTCCGGAGACTTAGGGCGGCTTACAATGCGTCAAGCAATAGCCTTCATACTTTTGTATATTTAAATTTAAATTAGGATGAGGTGGGAGGAAGGGAGGAGAAGACAGGTTATGCAGACACAGGTTACATGTGCAAGAGAGTACAAGTATCTTATAAATTCACAATTGTAATGTGTTACAAACCCATTGTATTTGTTGAGAGGTTCTGAAATTGCCTGAAAACCTTTGAGATATATGAATGAATCTCATTTGATGGTGGTGTTAATTTTTTCCAAAATGGTTACTTTTGAAATCTACAATAGAAAGTCCTCTTGTAAGGAGCTGAAATGCTCTGATATTATGTTGTCCTTGTTTTTGAGCCCTGATGTCAAACTTGTGTTTTTTAATTCTTTTGTACAAAGTTTCCTTGTTTGTCCTACATAGAATCCAGAGGAGGATTGTTGGCAGTTGGGGGCATACAGTATATTACATTGGAGGAAAAGCATGTGAAGGCTTTTAATTTTGTATATGAAATTGTTGAGGCAGTTGTGAGTGCTGTTGGTGTAGATGTGGAGGCAAATAGACATCTGGATTTCCTGCAGGGAGCGATCCCCATGTTAGCACCATTCTCCTATTTCTTATTGCTTGTTAGAATCTGCTTCAGGTTGGATGCCTGCCTGTTGACTGGAGCCGAGATCCTTTTCCCCTCAACTTTGACAGAATAAAAATTAATAAACAAAGAGAGTGAGCATTCAGGAAGAATTACTGGTGCTCTTTGAAGTATTAAGCAGAGATAATAGTTGTATGAATTTGCACATACTTGTAAAATGTGGAAAGCTGTGTTCTATGCTTTTATGGTGAAAGGGTGGGAAAATCTTTCACGTTGCTTTTCTCATTTTGCCATAAAAACAAGCATGGAAAGTAGCTCTGCACCTTTTACAATTACATGCAAATTCATACATTTGCATACAATAGTGACTGTATTTCAGAGGAATGGAAAAGGCCCTTTCACTGGACCCATACCATCTTGATGCTGTGGCAGAAATTGGAGAATTTCTGCCACAGAAGAGTGAGGTCTTTGAGCTTTTCTCAGTTGGATTTCTCTCTTATAACATATGCATGCATGCTCTTCATAATCTTAAGTGCTAGTGATGGGTCTTCTCTTGAGAGATTGTTTGTGTCTTCTAGACCTCACTGCCTTAAAATATTGCCTGATAACATTTCTTTTCCAGAATCTATTACACTAAAGGAATGGACATATGTGTCCCATTTCTAGGAGTACGTTCTTGTAATCAAATTTATAAAATAATTTTATGAAAAAAATATGAAAAAAAATTAAATGTCTCAACCCCTAGATATTGCCTAATTACTTATCTACTCCCTTTTTCTTCCTTTCTTTCCTCTTTTGTTCTCAGTTGCCATCTTCCCAGACTGGTTTATTCATTATCTTTGTGGAAACTACATTGCTGGAAAACAAATTTGCACACAAAGTTAGCCTCATGGTTAGCTGTTTATATGAACAGCTGCCCATGTGGTTTGGCTCAGCGATACATATGCCAGATCAGCTTCTTTATAGATTCATCTTTATGCATACATTTAATTACTGTGTCTGACACACACACACACACACACACACACACACACACACACACAAAATCATCCCTGCTATATGATACAGATATATTGAAATATATATATTTCACTAAGATATGCATACCGAAACTTTGTTTCACAAACAAAAGTGGCTTTTTTTTTTAAAGTAAAGACAGATGAAAAATACTACTGCAGAATGCTAGCTCTGCCTCCTAATGTTTGGTGAAGTATTGACTTCTTCATTTCCTTATATTTATGGGCCAGGTCATGCTATCACATTACTGGGGTTGGACTAGAACACCTCCAAGGATCCTTCCAACTCTGCTATTTTGTTATTCTGTTACTAGTTTCCAGTGAGCTGGAAGTTGTGAGCTCATTTTGCTAGATGCTTAAATGTGGAAGACTGTCTTCTGCAGACTTAGAATGACATTTTATTTATTCCAAATGAGGAATTTTTGAAAGTTTTTCATGCCTGATCTTCTAAGTTATCTTTGATTCCTGTAGAAAAATAATATAACTCTTTTGCACATATTCAAATTAGTTATGACTATAGAATAATTGCTTTTATCTGATGAAATACTCTACACCATCCTATTAATGGATTAGGGTTCTCTGTACTTTTTTTCTTTCATAATTCATTGCAATGCAGATTCCTTATCCATCTAATTTTTTGAAATGAGATCTTACTATGCTGAACCACTGGAGATAAAAAATGCCTGCTAGTAATTTAACAAGAATGAAACTAGAAAGTACAATATAGTGTCTGATCCCTGAAATACAAACAAGGGAGGAATGTAACATTGCAACCATAGGTTTATTTGGATTATCTTGGATTTGGGGGTGAAACCTGGGATGCCTAGAATCATGGTAAAATAATAAACTCCTAGATTTATTTTAAAAAGAAGAAAGAAAGCTTGGGGGAAACTTAGCTCTTCAAGAAAAGAAACATCATGATTAAAATGTTTCTGCCTGGTTTCAAGCCAGCGAGCTTTGCGAAGTTGAGCGAAGTTCTTTATCATTCTGAGATGTAAAATATATGTGTGGATGGAATTAAGCAGCTCAGGTAGGAATGTTGCTAAATGGTAAGGAAGTTAATGTAATTGTTACAAACCCATCTGCTCTCTTAAGCTCATCTTGAATCACAGCGGATTAGTGAGGGTATACAGCCCTTGAAAGCTGTTGACCCTTCCTTAGTCAACTGTTATCCTACATCCTCTGACCCACAAAATCTGCAGAATCCAAATTAGATCTCTCAGAATTCATAATGATCAAAAGATGTTTCAGTTAGTCTATTTGTTTCATTATTTGTTGTTTGCTTCACTGTATGAACCTAGCTGCTCTGTGGTTTCACTTCTCCAGGTGTTTTCAAGTACCAGCTCTATTTTGTAAAGCTATAAATCTTCAAACCATTTCATCACCCCTGAAAAGATATTGTGTGGCAGTGTTATTTCTACCAAGAAGAGCTTATTAATTCCCCCCCTTTCCCCCCTTAATTTGTCTATTAACCCAGGTTGAAGGGGACCAACTTCCTCCAGGACACACTGTCAGCCAATATGAAACCTGTAAGATCAGGACAATAAAGGCAGGTACTCTAGAGAAGCTTGTGGAGAACCTATTGACAGCATTTGGAGACAATGACTTCACCTACATCAGCATATTTCTATCAACATACCGAGGATTTGCATCTACAAAGGAAGTTCTGGAATTGCTCCTTGATAGGTAAGCTATGAAGAAAGGATATATATTTAATAAATTGTTCAGATACTTTTGAACTAACAACATTCACCAATTTGCATCACATAAAATGGTATTTAAAGGCCAGTGCTCGGACAGACTAGCACAATTCAAAGCACACTAGCGATGTCTCCTCGAATGGGGATGAAACGTTTGCAACCAAATTGCCAAGCTCAGAGCTCAAACCAACAGCCCAGCTACCAACCTGAGCTACTAATATTCAAGTACATTTCAATCATTTAATAAATTAATTAATGTAAGAGTTGTTTAAAACAATGGTGTGTTTTCAAGCGATTATGCTGAGCTGTAACGTTGGTAGATTAGGATTTGGTTCTGAACATTGATTTTAAAAGTAAAGGTCTGTCATTTGCTATTCCAGTTTCATAATCAAATCTGCGTCTTATTCTGTTCCCAGTATGAATTCACAGTGGGAATTTAACACTATGCAATATTTAGCATCTCAAGTATCTCAATGTTTATTCCTCAAAGAAAATACAGAGTTCTTGTTCTTTGAATAGTAAGAAGACAGAAAATAGGTTTGGTTTTAGAATGTAGCTTTAATGCTGAGTCAATCTATATGTCTGTCTTTTTATATGTAATATTTTCTCTCCATTTTTAGACATCCATCTTTATTCTATGTCCTTATTTTTAAAAAATGTCTGAAACTTCATGCCAATGAATTCAATAGATCGTTGCAGACAGATTTGCAAACATAATCCAAATTTCTGGTTTCAATAAATGTAACATGTTTAAGTACTATTGATTAAATAGTGAATTAGGCAGAGGTCCTCAAACTTTCTTGATTCATTATGCCCAATTTTTTCCAGAAATAATTAGAAGTAAATTGATTATTTTAACTTATCCTCTGCACTACATCCAGAATGTACCTTGAGCTTCTGGTTCATGGCAATATTATCACAGTACAACAGTATAGGAGTGAATGACACCTTTATTTTGCAAATCACTCTCCTTCTCATAAATCAGTGGGAACTTTAACTTATTTCAGGGATGTCAAACTCGTGGCCTGGGGGCCGGATGCATCACACACTGGCCATGCCCACTCCTGGTTTAGTGAAGGGGAAAAAAGTTGCGATACATCAGGTGACAACAACGTGATGTCGCGAGTTTGACACTTGTGCCTTATTCCATGTGAGGGTGCAGATAGCTCCATCCATTAGGCAACTCTACACAGAAATCAACCCTGGCAGGAGTCCTTAATTCCTGGGGATGTGTCATCCCAACACACCTGGAAGGCATTAAGCTAGGAAAGACTGGAATGTACCATTGATTGCTAAAGCATTGTTGCCTGATTTCAATTAGAAGATACAATGAGTTCTTAAAAGCCAAGTCCAGCAAAGCCATCAGTGTGATAAAGTAAGTTTTTTTACACTTAACACTAAAAAAATGAAATCATTGGGCGCCATCACATTTTATTCTTTGTCTTTTCCCAAGGAATTGTGGTAATGGAGAAGTGGGTGAATATGTGTGTGTGTGTGTGAGAGAGAGAGAGAGAGAGAGAGAGAGAGAGAGAAAGAAAGAAAGAACTTTTCATTCTCATAATGTTTTCACCGTACTTATTTTTTTTAAGTTACCATGAAGCTGAAATCTTGTTATATTTAGGGTAGAACTTCTGTCTCCTGTTTTACTTTCTGCCAGGATTGTTTTGAAAATCAGTGTCTTCTAAACAATGGAAGAAAAGATAACTGTATTGTCTTACAATATTAACTTTGTCCTTGCAAGGAAATAACTTTTCTGGCCAAGGTAACTAAAGTAACTTCTTTCTATTGCCTGCTTTGCTTTTTTTTTTTTTTTTTTTTTTTTTGCATAACTCATGTGATTTCCCATGGTTTGTATTGTAAAACAAGAACTGAAAGTTACTTTAAAAACAAAACAAGTATCAACAAGCATACGAATATTATCAAAGAGTTCTCTGGTAAGGATGGCTCCTCTGTGGAAACTTTCTGTTTTCCCGAAAGTGCATTGCAAAGCAACAGGAGCTGTCTCTATGTTGTCCTGATAAGGCTTGAACTTCCTGTGGGCAAATTTGCCTTACTCAGGCTGACTGACTGAGGCACAGGATCGGGGGTGGCAGAAGGCAGCTTGTACTGCAGCTGTGCATTGTTGTTCTTGCTTTGTAGTTTAACAAAGAACATCAGTTTGCAGACTATCAATCCAGCACTTTCATAAAACACAAAGCTATATATAGTAGTATGTTCACTCCCTTCAGATGGGAGTTTAAGGAGTGTCAATGGAAACATGAAAAGAGAAGCACTCTTCCAGTAACAGGGCAGGAACCTATCTACCAGCTGTGATTTGGAATGCTTTGAGGACAAACTGGAGGGCTTAGAGTGAACTTCGGGATGGGGGTTGTTTGCAATTAAGAAATGCAGTGAAGCAGTGTTTTAAGATTGGTTGGAAAATACATTCCACAAATAAAACTAAATTCTAGTTCTCATCAGCAGTTGAGGTTATTCCTATCAATAGACAAATCTATAAAAGATTCAGTACAGGTAGTCCTTGATTTACAACCATTCATTTAGCAGTGATTCAAAATTACAATGCACTGAAAAAAGTTACTTCTGACTGCTCATCGCACTTACGACCGCTGCAGCATTCCCACAGTCACATGATTGAAATTCATGGGCACTTGGTGAGCAGCATGTATTTACAAGGCCTGCAGCATCTTGGGGTCATTTGATTGCTATTTGCAACTTTCCCAGACAGCTTCTGACAAGCAAAGTCATGTTTGCAAATCATGGGTTAGGAAGTCAGGCTTTGTAATGGGAAATCAGCTTCCCTAATCAAGAAGTAGAGACACTCATACAGATACTGTATATAAATTTCTCTAGAAGTATTGCTTAGGGAAGAAACTAATTTAGGCAGATTTCTAAGAAGCTAATTCACTGTAAGGCTGAACTGTAACTGGTCAGCTGTCTAGTAATTAAGGGCTCAGGCTAGAAACCGAGAGACTGAGTTCTTGTCCCACGTTAGGCATAAAAGCCAACTGGATGACTTTGAACTAACCATTTTCTCTCACCTTACTGGTTTGTTGCTGTGGCGAAAATAGAAGGAAGAGTATTAGGTATGTTTGCTGCCTTGGGTTATTTATAAATAAATAATAAAAAAATAAAATTAAAAAAATAAAAATTAATTAATGATGCTTTGGAAACATTGGAGGTGTGTCCTGTGTTAGACATAGGTTTTTTTTCTGGCCACTAGGTATTCTTGCTATTATTTAATTTCCCTGTAATTTATTCAGCCATTTTTAGAATATATATATTTCCTAATCTGACAATTGAACATAACTTCAGAAGCAATACCCTTTTAAATAATTCCTCTGTAATGCTCAAATATTTATGGAGAAAAAAAATGCTTTTAAAAGAAAACAAAAGCCTCTGACGATCAGGAAACTCAGCTGGGATCGTCAGAGCTTTTAAAAGCATTTTTTTACAACCTCTTCAGACAAAGAGGTTGTAGAAAAAATGCTTTTAAAAGTAAAAAAAAAAAAAAGTTGGCCATGCCCACCCAGTCACATTACCCCCCCCCACCAAGCCACGCCCACAGAACCAGTAGTAACAAATTTTATATTTCACCACTGGGTTGAACCAATACCCACAGTGATTTATAAGCAGGGGTGGGCTGCTGGGTGTTTGCAGGGGTTTGGGAGAACCTCTAGCTAAGATTCTGGAGAACCCCCAAATCCCACTCCTGGCTGGCCCCTATACCACCCCTCCCAACCCAGGAGTCCACGCAGCCCATTGGATGTGCACGAAGGCTCAGGGAAGGCAAAAAACAGGTCGACCAGAAGTTCAGGGGAAAAAAGTTCGGGAAATGGGCCCATTTCTGGCCTCCAGAGGGCCTCCGGAGCCTGGGGAGGCCATTTTGGCCCTCTCAAAGGCTCGAGGGAAGCCTCCAGAGCCCGGGGAGGGCAAAAGTAACCCCCCTGCCATGGTGCAGGAGGCCGACTAGGCCACGCCCACCAAGGCCACACCCACCCAGCAATTGGGCAGAGAACCCCTTGCTAAAATTTTTGAAGCCCCTGTTTATAAGCCTAGTACTTTGGTGCAAATGCAGAATTTAAATACATTATATTTGCCCATACTCAGTCAATGAAATCTATATTATGGATAAAATGTTGTATTCATCTTTTCTTGGAAGCAAACGATCCCAAGTCCTTCTTTAACATGCTAATCAAGTGACCAAATGCAGGAATGCTGGAGTCTTATTGATGGTTGTCAGTCTTTCTCCCTCTGTGTGTTTTCTGCATATGACCAACAAATGCAGAAATATATGAACAGATAGTAATTTGTAAAGGCCTTGGTATTCTCTGAGCTTGGTTGTTTGCTTGCAGATGTTTCATTACTCAACTAAATAACAGCAATGTGACTAGTGTGACTAATGCAGCACTGATGGTGTTACCTAGATGGGTAATGAAACATCTGCAAGCAAACAACTAAGCGCATATTTTCTACTATTGGAGACAGAAAATTAAAAATGCATTTCCTTCCTTCTTTACAATTTCCTGAATTTTAATCTTATTCTTTAGTTGGGAAAGTTACACAGGTAGCTTATGAATATTACTACTACAGGTAGTCCTGATTTAACAACCACAGTTGGAACCAGCAACTCAGTTGTTAAGTGAAGTGATCACTAAGTGAAATCTCAATTGTGCTTATGATATTATTTCCTTTGCTTAACAGACCTGTGAAAGTTGTAAATAGGAGGATTGGTCATAAAGTTGCTTTTTTAAATTACCATGGTAAAGTATTGCTAAATAAGGATTACCTGCATTACAGAGGTGGGTTTCAGCAGGTTCTGACCAGTTCTGGAGAACCGGTAGCGGAAACTTTGAGTAGTTTGGAGAACCTGTAGTAAAAATTCTGACTGGTCCCGCCCCCATCTATTCTCTGCCTCCCAAGTCCCAGCTGATCAGGAGGAAATGGGGATTTTGCAGTAACCTTCCCCTGGAGTGGGAATGGAGATTT